CAGAAATTAACTCTTGAGACTTAACCCTTATTGTCTTGCCTTCTAGGGTTAAAATGATAGATAGTAGGTCCTAGAAAGTCGCCAGGAATACTAGGGAAGCAGGATGTGAGTTGGCAAGAAGCCAGGAGAGCCAATGGAAACAGTGTGTGGGCTTCTGAATTGGAAGCAGTGACTTTCCTGTGTCCTTGTGTCACCAGAGAAGCCTCAAAGGACATGAAATAAGCTAGAGAACCAGGCATAGAATCATTAAATCATAGGTTGGAAGAGACTTCAGGAGGTTGAGTGGGGAACAGTCTTGACAGATGTCCTTTTAATCATGATTTCCCTTATCATAAGCAGCCAGAAAATGATTTACAATTCCCACCACCCAGTTTCCATTTCTAGTTTCCCTATGTTTGGTTAACTCTGATAAAAGAATATGGGTAAATGTCTATCTGAAGATAGGGATCTCTTGCACAAAGGCTAGAAATGAACATCAAGGACTTCTTGTTTTATACCTTCCAGATCAATATAATCCTTGCTTGAGATCTGTAATCCTTCCAAGTTATTTTGAAAGGACACTACAAATGGCAGCTTATTGCACGTTTCCCACATGAGAGGAACAGCTGGCTTCAGAATTTCCTACTGAAAGTCTGGAAGCTATGTAGAGAAAAAAGACAGATTTCATCATTCAAAAGATCAGTTAACTGTGTAGTATATTGGAAATCATGGTGATCACAGATGCCAATCAGGTACAAATATGGAGCCAAATTCCAGACTTGGTTAAGTGTGAGTAAGTCTTTATGCTTCTATATATGCCAACTTTGTAACACTCTGTTTCTGAAAACATAAGGGCTGTGTCTACACTGGCATGAATTTCCGGAACTGCTTAAAACGGAATACTATTCCGTTTTCAGTTTTTCCGGAAAAGGAGCGTCTACATTGGCAGGCTGCTTTTCCGGAAAAGCCCTTTTTCCAGAAAAGCGTCTGTGGCCAATGTAGACGTGCTTTTCCGGAAAAGAGCCCCAATCGCCATTTTCGCGATCAGGGCTTTTTTCCGGAAAAGGCTACTGGGCTGTCTACACTGTCCCTTTTCCGGAACAGTGTTCCGGAATAAGGACTTATGCCCGAGTGGGAGCAGAATAGTTTTTCCGGAATAGCGGCTGATTTTGTACAGTAGAGTGTCGTTGCTTTTCCGGAAATTCAAGGGCCAGTGTAGACAGCTCGCAGCTCATTCCGGAAAAGCGGCTGATTTTCCGGAATAAGTGGCCCAGTGTAGACACAGCCAAGGAGAGCTTGCATGGGAGTTCCACAACCACTCAGTAGCGGGCCTGTAGAGATGTTTAGAGCCCTGTGCAGATACACAATTTGTATCTGCATCTAATCTGCAAGTTGCAAAAATGGTCTGTCAATATAAAGCAGATATCTGTTGATCTGCAATGTTCTAGAGATATTCCTGAACTCCCTTGCAACAACACAAGTCCCTGTGTTATCCCACAGAGGACTCTACTAGGCTTCTACAATTCTCAACCAGCATTTCTCCCATGTAAAACTAGAACAGGTCAACAAACATTTCAATGAAACATTTCTCTGGAAGAAAAGTCACACCTCTGAAATCTGTACTGTCTATGGGAATGTTTCAATTTAGACAACATTTTATTACAAAATTAGAAATGAAGCATCAAACTTATTGGAACGTGTTGGGGTGTGTTAGCATTAACTAAGGGGTATTGGTAAATGTGATGGGGCACAGCACAGGCAAACACTGCTTCTACTGGTTTACAGACTTGTTTTGATTCCTCCTTCTCTGCTTACTCAGGATAGGTAAGCTACAGCTGTATGTATCCAAGGTGTAACTTTTCATTAATGGTCTATGTGTTAACCATGCTATCCTTCTTACCCCCTTACCTGGTCTCATTCACTCTGAAGTATACATTCAGGGTCACATATCCTTTGTCCCTTGTAAGTTGCTGATTCAAGAAGTTTTGTGATATGAAAACTGTTTACATCAACTAAAAAGCTGTAAACAGTAAACGGGGCAGGTATAATTATATTCATCACATGGTTCTGATTATGCAGTATATGGGTGTTCACATTACTAAATTAGGGCTTGAAGAGTGATGTAATTGATAAGTACATTTAAATACTAACAGAAAAAGTTTACTTGGGGTTAATTTCTTGCTCATTCGCATCCCAGGTCGGGGGGAGGGAGGTTCCAAGACAGATTGAGTATTTACAAAAAAGATGCCCTTCTACCCCATCCACCTCTGGGTAACCTGTTTTTTTCAAATAACATGGAAATTTTTGATTTTTCATTTTGAAATGACTTTTTGTTTTGAAATATATTTATGTATATACGAGATGATTTACCCCATGTTGCTTGGGTCGATAATTAATGTTCGTGTTTTAGAAAATAAAATGAAAATGTAAATGCTTCATTTAAATCATTGCTCTGAGTTGGGGTTAGGGAGGAGGGGTTCTGAATGCAGACTGTCCCGGGGAAAGAGGATAAACTCAGACATCTCTTACCATAACTGTTTGGGGCCAGGTGAGAAGCACCTCTCCTTGGCCACTGGGGTAGGTCTAGGTTTGTCTGCCTCCTGCACTCCCCAGCCTAAGTGAGGAATGCAGCAAACTGTGCACTTTCTCCTCGCTTCCTGAAGAAGGGGAACAGCCAGCAATGATCCTGTATGAATGGAGGGGGCTACAGCCCCCTATCCTGCCTAAAGAGTAACGGGGGAGGGAGGCTTGGGACTGCGGTAATGCCAGAGGGCATGGAACACATCCCTACCAAGCTCCTTTCATCTGCCTGGTGATTCTGATTCTTTTCTGTATGGTTTATGAGAAGCAATCCCATTCCAGGCACATCCCATTTTTTTGACACAACCACACTCTTACTTTGCTTTAAGTTATTATAAAAGGAAGCTGTATACCGAATTGGGTGGGCCTAGTTCTTACCACTTAGGAGGATTTCTTGAATGAATAGATAGACAAACAAACATACAGACAAACTATTTTGAATGTGTGTGTGTGTGTGTGTGTGTGCTGAAATTAAAGCAAAATGTTTGAATAGAAATTAAATTGAAATTAAAATAAAATGTTTCAACAGATGCCAAACAAAACAAATTTTCTCAAGAAGTCTTGTTTCTCAGAAAATTTCTTCTAATTCAGAACAAAAACAAATTTCAAAATCTGACTAGCTTTGAATGCTATATCTATCTGCTGATAGATATAGGACAAAAATTGTGCTCACATATTCACCTACTGCCAGCCAGACAATTGGAGCTGCTCTGCCCCTGGGCTTCCCCAAGTCCGCCGCTGCCGAAACTGACCAGGGGCGGACTTGGGGAAGCCCTGGGGCAGAGCACCCCAGCTGCTTTGCCCCCAGCTTCCCCAAGTCCGCTGCTGCTGAAACTGACCAGCGGCTGACTTGGGGAAGCCAGGTGCAGAGCAGCTGGGGTGCTGCCGGATTGGTCCTGCAGCCCCGCACTCTCCCACACTGCGCAGTTCCTCGCCGACCCCCCCCCCCCCAGACCCCGCATAGCTCCCCTTCCAGTACTCCGGCATATCTGATAATCTGGCACCCCCTGGGCCTAAGGTGCCAGATTATCGGAAGTTTACTGTAATATGTTATGGTGACACCACTATGTCTAGTGCATATTCTGTGGGGATTTCTCTCCTCTTCTTTATTTGTGTTTCCTCAATTTACTATGAAGAGGTATCCTTCTTCTATATATTTGTGTACTAATGATTTCAAAATAAATGTTAATTTGTTGCCATGGCATTCTTGTGGATGTGTGGTTTTTCCAAAACTTTCCAAAAGCTGGTGTTAGGTCACATTTCTATGATTTGTTGATGTCATTATGGGCAAAATTCCCCTTTACACTCTACTTCTTGTTTGGTGTTAACTAAGTTTATCTATGCCAAAACTCATAGGTTTCAAGCCTCATGCTAACTGCTGAAGCTAATAAATACAAAACTGCATGTTCCTTGCATTACTGTTGAATATAAAAGAAGCAGAATAGTCAAGGCAAACACAGTGAATATAGTAAAAGCAAGCTAACCCGATGGGCTACATCTTTCACATACAATTTCAGCTGTTGGATGGTAATACAATTTGCTAATGTATGCAACATTATGTTCCATGTTTAACAGTGGCATCTCTTCTGATTGCATCATATTTCAGATATTTTTATAGCCATTTAGCTAAGGGTCAGATTGCCCCTTGGCCAAAGTGATGTAAAAAGAAAAAAAGGCAAGAGGTATGCTAAAAATAACAAAGTAGAATAATGGTCACAGATAACTCAACCCATATTCTCATTTACTTTTTCTTAAAGGAGGAGGATTCCTTTTGGTGGACATCATGATAAAATCACTAGCAGCAAATTCAGTATTGCTAATATATTCATTTGACCTTGGTTCATAAGCCTCAAAAGCACTCAGTTCACACGCTACTGAAAGGCATACAATTTTTGAACTAGTGAATTGGAGCTCTAACAGCATAGTATCCTTGCAAAAACTGGGGAACAAAATGTGAATACCTTCTCTTGAATTATTACCAACTATTTTGGATATTCTCAAAGTGTATTAACAGGTGAAAGCAGGCAAGTACATGCTGGTATGGTGTATCAGTAAGAAGTTGTCGCCGGTACTGGCCCTTACACAACTGATGTTAAAGTGCTGCCACAGGAGCACTTGAAGGACCATCCTTAAATATCTTTAACATAGCTGCCCCTTTTGCTCTCCCCCAGGGTTGCCAATGGGGAGCAGAGCCAATAAAGGAGACTCAAAAAAAACCAACATTCCCATGGCCTGTTGATTTAAAAGGGCCTGACAGTTTCTTGGCTGCCACTGCCACTACTACAGCAGCAGTCAGGGCCCCGTGTCTTTTAAATCACCACCAAAGACCCAGGTGACACACACTTTGCATAGCTGAAGGTCTGGCTGGCCCAGTATCAAGCCTTCATACTGGGAAGATTTTTACCCCTGCGTGTAACAGAAATAAGAAAAAAAGCACTTACATGTTTTCCAAGGTTTCAGGCAGGTGATAGTCACAAAATGTGTATTTCTCTTGCTGGAGTATTCTCAACCCAAGTATATTTCAAATGGGCATCATAGGCTACTTCAATCTGTCATACATCGGAGGAGTTAGAAAAGGAATCACAAAGAAATAAAAATAGTTATTAATTTTGGATACCCAACTTGCAACACCCCTCATTTGTCTCAGGTTGGACTGTGAAAGAAAGGCATCAATAATTAAAGAATAGTTTTGAAAATTGAGATCCAAACATCTTCTAAAGCAAGGCTATTCAACATGTAGCTGGTGGGCCGCATGCAGACTGTGGTCCATTTTTTTGCCGCCCATGGTGTAATTTGGGTTTATGCGGGGCTCAACATGCAGCCCGCAGGTGGGATCCTTTGAACATGCCTCCATCGAGAACACACTTCACAATGGTGAGGTGTCTCCCAGGTGGTGTGAGCATTGAAAGATGCAAGTGGACAGGTTAGCTGGAAAAGATGGGCACCGGGTGTCCGCATTTCTAGCTCCCAGGGAGGAGGTGCCAGGAGTGCCAGGGCATTATGTGCAGTGCTTTGTTTTCATGCCCATCAGTGTGAAAGAGTTATTTGTATGTCTATGCAACCACAGTTAAGTTGTGGCACTCAGCATGTGCTGTGAGTATTATTGTGGCCCCCGGGGCTTCCAAAGGTGAGTAGCCTTGGTTTAAAGTCTCAAATCGCATATTTGAGCTGATTTAGAAATAGAGTTCAGGGTCCTTGACTCCAGTATCTCTTCTCTAACAGTTAAGACTCGTCTATATGGTGCATTAGTGTGTGCCAGGAGGGGTGTAAATTCCAGTGCACATTAGCATGACATGCACTAATTGGCCGTATGGACACAGTGGGAAAGCACCAGTAATTCCCTAATTCCCAGAAGATTCCGCTTCACTATATGTCATGCACTAATTGGCCGTATGGGCACGGTGGGAAAGCACCAATAATTCCCTAATTCCCAGAAGATTCCGCTTCACTATGTAGTCCACAACAAGCTATTGTGCCCTGGAATTTACACCTCTGCTGGCACATACTCACACCCCATATAGACAAATCCTTAGGAAAATCCTTGGACTTTTGACAAAGGAATTGTGTGTGAGGGATGTTGTGCATTATTATTGTGATTTACTGATTTTCATGGGGCAACACCTGCAGGCCTTGGTACTCAATTGTGTGAGGTACTGTATAGCATAAATATGAAGTGCTTTGCAATCTAACCATTGAAGACGAAGATGAGAGGATACAGAATAAAAGTGGTATACAGCATGATGGCTTGCAAGCATCATGCTTATCATATTACAAGTGCTGCAATTTTTTGGCTGTTTGATATTTTGTTAACATTTTAAAAAGGAGGGTCTTGTTTGTCTTACATTAAAGGAGGAAGGGTGAAAGAGGGAAGGACCAAATGGGATGAGGAAGAAGGAAATAAATGGAGGGCAGTTGTAGTGAAAGTGAAATGGAGAAAGGGGCTGGAGTCAGCAGCCAGTTAGTAGAGGAGAAAGAATGTTCACTTCAAAATCCTTAGAAAACAGTCCTCTGCTCCTGCCCCTCACCCACATCTGACCCCTTCTACCAGGGGAGCCCCCAGCCATGAGTGGCCCCTGGGTGAGGTGAGAGAGGCTGGAGCAGCCAGCCCTCAGCATCACCCAGAGCCTGCCGTGTCACTTTCCTGCCCTCCCCAGAGCTCTTAGAGCTGCCCTGGAGCACACTGTGCAGTCCTTCAGTGGCAATTAAAGGGTCTGGGGTTCCAGACTCTTTAAAATTGCCAGGGCCTGGGGCAGTTGCCCCTTTTGCACCACCCCCCACCATAATGCCCACCTTCCACCAAGCTCCCATCCCCAACCCACTTCTTCCGGACGTTGTTCTGCCTCTTCACACTCCATTCACACTCTGCCTCTTCCCTCTTCCTCCTCTAAGTGTGCTCCATCCCCATTCCTCGGCCTCCTTCCAAGTACCTCATGCATGTTGTGGAACAGCTAATCAAAACAAGAGGGAGTTCCTGGGAGGTAGAGGCAGGAGTTGTTGAGCAGGGAGCAGGCTGTCAGTGGGTGCTAAGCACCCACTCATTTTTTTATCTGAGTGCTCCAGGGCTGGATTAACCAGGGAATCAGCACCTATGACATCTTCACTATCCCTGTTTAGACTGTTTCTTTTGTTTGCTTTCACTGGCTTAAATTCTGTCCCTCAGCTTCTCTCTGCTCTGTGGCTTCTTTCTTTTCCTACCACATGTGGTTAGGAAATGAGATTCTCGACGCATCTCAATGCTCTTTGAGAGGAGGGCTCTTCCCTCACATCCCTCTTGGCATGGAGATTACTACAGCCTATTAGTGAATAGATGTTCATGGAACATTCACTGACACACATTTTATCAAAGATAAGTAGACAGAAGGTCCCTGTGCTGTAATAAACTCTTTGGAGGTAGACGCATGCTAATCCTCTTTGAAGTCAACAGAATTTTATTCAGGTACAGAGTTCTTTCCACCAGATCAGAACCTAAGCCTTTACAGAAAAAAATAAAAGAAAGACAGCAGTTCTGTCCATGAAGACTGCATTCAGTTCTGTGCCTCTGGAGCCACAGCTGGTCACATCAGCTTAAATTTATTGCATTATGCTCTACTGTGGATCACTGACCATTTGCCACTTTCTCTGCCACCCCATTTTCTGTTCCAGCCTATCTATAATCAAGAAATTAGCTTTTCATCCCATTACATATCAATTACCTCCTTAGAGTACATCTTCATATCTTAGGTTGTTTCCAGAGCTTCCAATTCCCTTGTGACTTTACAGCTGTCTCAGCACCTGTGAAATACAGGCAGTCCCCGAGTTACGCGGATCTGACTTATGTCGTCCCGACTTACACCTGGTCCCGCCGCCCGCCTCCTCCAGGGCGAGAAAAGCTGCTACCCGTCTCCCTGGTCTGCAGACCAGGGAGATGCTGAGCAAAGCCGCGGAGGACCCGGCCGGGATCGCGGCGCTGATCTGGCTCCTCTTCCCCCCCCCCACACCAGGCCGGGGGGGGG